GACCAGACCAAGCGAGAAGAAAAAGAAAACCAAAGGCTTCAGACTTCTTTCCTGTCCTCCGTGTACACCTGGCTCTGCAGCAGACCTGTCTGGCTTTTCCGCCTGTGCCAAACACAAGGCTCAAATGCCAGGAAGCTGGCCTGTCTCCTTCCTCTTTCTACCCCCGCCTCTCCGAATGATCCTTTTTACGCAATGATTATTTATATGCAACAGCTCCAAGACATGTATTTCCCTCCCCGATCTGTTCCCCGTCTCCATTTGGACGTCTCACAAGCGAAACACAACCAAAATGGAATTGCTTTCCCTCCCCGCCCGGTGCCAGCCCAGTCCTCCTCCACAGCTCTCTAATGCCACACTGCTGCCATCCCATCCCACCCTGCTGTCTACGCCAGAAACTTCTGACTCATCCCTGCTACCTCCCTCTCCATCGGCCATGTCCAAATAAGCACCAGCTTCTTGCCGATTAGAACTCCTCACTCGATTCCAGCCTCCCTCTGCCTTCATTTGTTATCAAACGCTATCCTAGATGACTGCAAACGCATTGGCTGACAGGTCTGCTCACCCTCCCACCACACCCAGGGTGGCACCTGTGCAGGCTCCAGGGTGGAGGGTGTGCAGCACGCCGTGCCCAGCTGAGGGGGCTGAAGCCTTCTGCACTGGTCTGGTTGAGGTCTAATTGGTATATCTGTTCTAAACGGCCCATCCAGAAGAACAAAGCCTTTCTCTGGTTTCCCCAGACACTGCACATGCCAGCTGCATCTACTCCAAACTACTCTCTACACAGGAGTAATGGTGATCATTTTAACACTCAAATCATCTCATCTCTCATTTAAAATCCGTTAGTGAAGCTGGGCAGAGTGGCATAGGCCCGTCATCCCAGCACTCTGGAGGAGGATAGCAAGTTTGAGCTTAGCCTGGGAAACTCAGCACCTTAGTAAGGACAGACCAGGGTACCTACCTTGTTCCAGGAAAGAAACTGCTCAGGAAAGTCCTCCCTAAGAAGGGCTTAGGAGTTCACCTGACACCTGAGAAATAAGTAACACTGCAGGATAAAAAAATAGAAAAGGGCTGGGGATGTAGCTCAGTGTAAACGTCCTGGGTTCTATCCCACTACTGGGAAAAAAAAAAAAAAAAGTTTTAAAATCCATTGGTTATTCACCACTACCATTACACGAAAGCCCAAAATCCTAAAAATGATCCAAGGGGTCTCATCCTCAGCTACATTTCCCTCATGTCTCAACCTATCCTCCTGGAAATTTGTCCCCTAATTCCCCTGGTTACTTCTTACTTATTTCTCAGGTGTCAGGTGAAATACCCCTACTTAGGAAGGACTTTCTGAGCAATTCCTCTCCTGGACCAACTTAGGTACCCTGGTCTGTCCTCTTTTAACAATCCATGCTGTTCTGAACCATCACTCAGGACCATGACAGCTGCGTGCCTGCCTGTCTTCTCCTCTCTCCCCCGAGACCAGAGGACACACCTAGGCAAGGATGCTCCATCTTGCTCAGGGCTGTGGCCCAAGAGCCAACAATGCTTGCTACGCAACAGCTGCTCGATGAGGCCTGTATTAACAAGCGGGCCAGAACCCCAGGACCCCAAGGCACAATGTGGCTACTCTGCAGAGGTAGAAAAACACCATGGAAAATTTCTTAGTAACTTTCTGACACTGATTCTGTGCAGATTCCTGAATGGAAACAGAAGCACAATCGATGAATCAGAAACTCCAGGTTGCAGCAGTGACATTTCATTTCTTGGTTTTGCATTTGTTGTTTGTCACAACCTGTTGCACAAAAAGCAACCTGTGCAGCCGCGTACGGCCCCTTTCTTGGCTCAGTGCTCTCTGTTGTCACCGGCAAGACTTTCCTTTACTTACTGTTTGCTTTTTGTGTTACTAGGGACCGAATACCGGGCCTCCCCCACGGCAGGCAAGCACTCTGCTACTAAGCTGCATCACCAGCCCTTACTTTTAAATTTTGAGAGAAAGTTTTGCTAAGTTGCCCAGGTTGGCCTCAAACTTAAGATCCTCAGACTCCCAAATAGCTGGAATGACAGGCGTAAAACCACTGTACTCACCCTGAAAATCTTAACCTTTTAGCAAGAAGCCTTGCGAATTATATAGAGCCAGTTGTGAGTTTTACAAGTTAGTTAGATTTCTGGAAAGAGCCAATTAGTAGCCAGTTCCCAGTTGAGAATGCATTTCAAACCCAGGGCTGTAAACTGGGTTAAATTCCCGGAATATTTTTCCTTTCATAGGAATTATATCATATATCATGTGCAGCTCCTTTTCATTAAATTGAGATTTCTCGTACCACTGAAACTTGGGGAGTCTTAGTCTTTGTAGTTAATTTAAAAAAAGCTTAATTTTTTGAAAAAATGAATTTTCAACACGATATATTCACACCGAGTCTCAGTACTAGAATTTCTGCTTAGTTTTGTTTGGGGTTCTAACATTACAGATTGCGTTGGTTTTCCTAAATCAACAAGCATGGTCAATCAACATGTCATCATCTTAAAAAACATGAAAGACACTGACAATATTTTAAGAAGAAAAATGAAAAGTAGTATAGATTCCTTTCAAGTTTCCAACATTTCAAACCTTATGCAAGTTAACAAATGCATTGAATATCTGAAATTTCTTCAGAATTAAAACATGGCAGGATACGTGGTTGGTCACCTTTATGATAAAAATGGTTTAAAATGTTAGATATTTTAATTTACGATTAGTTCTCTAGTCACTGAAAGTCTGACATTCCCTAAATTTAGTCTGTAGTTGATCTCACAAACATCTGGCCTATTTTTTTTCCTCAACCAGTGGTGACTTTGTTCCCCAAGAAACACTTGGCAATATCTGGAGACAGCTGAGGTTTAGTAATTGGAGGGAGTGAGGTATCGGCACCTTGCAGGCAGGCTGGAGACACTGCTATGCATCCTATCCTACAGGTCAGTTCCCTGCCCCTAAAAATCATCTGTCTGGCCAAAAATGTCCAAAGTGCCAAGGCTGAGAAACACTGCTCTAAAAATATGTGGCACTGCATCAAGGAAATGGGCCAACCCTCAAACACACCTCCAGTGTCAAAGCCAAGACAGTCCCTGAAGAATACAGATGCCTGACTTATCTGAACAGCCATTTGGGAACTCCCCCGACCCGCTACACTTGTTTGGTGGTCCTAGGGATTGAACCCAGGGCCTCTACCCTGAGCTATACCCTCAGACCATTTTTATTGTTTTTATTTTGAGACAGGATCTAAGACTAAATCACTAAGTTGCCCAGGTTGGGCTCAAATTTGGAATCCTCTTGCCTTGGCCTGCCAGAGCACTGAGATAACAGGCACAGGCCACCATGTTCAGCGGGAACTTCCTTTTTAATAGAGTTAGGCATTTGCCATTTTGACCTGGAACCATGAGACCATTTCTCACTACAATGAATACTCAAATAATGACAGGAGTCCTCAACTGTTCCCATAGACTACATTACTCAATACAGTTACGCACGTCACAGAAAGCAGCATTTGACAGTCAAAAAGAGGTTATTTCCAACACCACTAATTTGTCTCCTACTACCTCATTTCATGAAAAATGTGCAGTATCTATATCATAGCTCAGAATTTTCCATTCACTTGAAAATGTAATTATATACAGTTTATAAGGCAAAGATTAGCAAATCGATGATGTATGAATCAAATTTGGGTCTTCGTTTTAAAAAAGGAAAAAAAGAGGGGTCAGAGATTTAGCTCAGTGGCACACCATCTGCCCAGCAAGCAGGAGGTCCTGAGTTCGATTCCCGATATCAGAAAAAAAGTCAATATTTTAACTCATGCTTTATATTGTAAAAATAAAGATTTCTGGCTACTTTTTGGGGGAAAAATTAAAAGAGGACCTGGGCTGGAATTCCTGCAGGATTACTGGATGGGTGTGCCCAACCCACCCAGATTTACAGGTCACCTGGGCCCAACCAGTGCTCTTCTACATTACATATTACCTGTCATGTCCCAGTAGGTAGGAGATTTTATGATCCCAGCTTCAAGAAAAAGTTTTTTCCGTTGTTTTGGTGGTGGTGGTGGTGGTGTTTGTTTTGGTGTCTTGGGAGTGATCTAACCTAGAGCCTTAAACACTCTAGGCAAGTGCTCTACCACTGACTACATTGCAGGTGCCCTGGAACACATTTTTGTAATTGTTAAGCAACTAGCTTACAAATGAGAGTAGAAAGAATAGCAACCTGCGTGGGGAATTGGTGTTACACAGGTAACTTAGTCACAGATGAACTACAATAATGAAGGCTGGAATCTTACACAGATTTGAGGCAGAGGCTAAAGAGGTCAGGTTAAAGGAGAGGCAGGCGACCTGCACATCCTCACCGCCAAGCGATGGGGGAGTCATCCTCCTCCACCTGCTTCACCTACTAGCAAAACACTTTTTAAAAGTTCACGGTATGGCATACTGCAGTTAAAAATTAGGGAGCTGGCCATTTCTAACAAAGTAAGATTTCCCAAAACTACCATTGGGAAGGGAAGAAAAGAAAAGGCAAGCAGATATCCATACACTCTGAGTTCTCCTCCTTGCCAGAACTAAAATCTGTTACCAAATCCCTCTGCAGGGACGGCCTGTCTGTAACTGCCTAAGCTCCAAGCAGGTAATTTACACTGATCTTTAAAAACCATTAATCCTTTTCCTCCCTCTATAAAGACAAACCTTTCTTTCAGAAGCTTTCTAAATGGGGGAGAGGGGGAGTGCTAGAGGAAAAACTCAGCAGCCGCCTTTCCTCTCCGCCATCAACTTCAGGCCACAGAACTGTTGCCCACCTCGTCACCTTGGCGCACCGCTTTCCTCTAAACATCACACATCATTCAGTTCGTCACTTCTCCCTTTATTTGCATAAAGGCGCCTCCGTCCTCTGTAGGAAGCGGCGAGGCAGAGGGCGCGCAGTGACATCCACGCCGGCGACAGGACGCCCGCGCCGCAGACCTCACCTGCACCCGGAGCCCGGAGCCCGGAGCCCGGAGCCCGGAGCCCGGAGCCCGGCGGGAGGGCGCGAGCGGCCCGAGTTTCGCTCCGCGTGGGGAGAAGGGCGGCGAGGACAAGAGCTGCTTCCCCTTCGGAAAGCCGGCCACCCCGAGCGGGAAGCCGCTGACCCGGGGGCAGATACTGAAACAGACAACACACAGAAACCTGGCAGGGCAGTGAAACAATCCGAGAAGAACCCCGTTTCCGTGACGGACCCTGCGCCGCCGGCTCCCCGGACCCGGCGCGGGCCCCGGCTAGCATCTCGGGGCGCCGAGGCGGCAGGCTGCGTAGCAGCGGACGCGGGGTAACGACGCCCCTTGCCGGGCGGGTTGAGGATGGAATGAAGTTAGAGAGTCTCCGGCACCCAAGAAACGCCCGCGATCAACCGCTCGCTCCCCTCCTCCCACGCTGCAGCCCGCCCCAGGGTCGCCAAGCTCCCTCGGCGGATCCGCCCGGAGCCAGCAAGCGGCTTCCAGGTGGCGCCCGCACCGCGTCCTGGTCTGGCGCGCGCGGCGCCCAAGAAGGGATCTTCTCAGAGGACGCCGCTCCTTCGTCCCGGAGGAGCCCCACCCGCCCAGAGCCGCTAGCGCTCCATCCTTTCCCGCCTCCCGCCGCGGGACGGCCGCGCCGCCTACCTGAGCGGGTGCAGCCCGGCCCCGCGGCGGCTCTGGCCCGGCTAGCAGGGCTCCACGCTCCTTCTCCGCGCTCGAGGCGCCAGGCAGCGCCTCCACCTCCGCTCCTGCCCCGCCCGGCCCGGCCCCGCCCACCTGGCCCCGCCCTGGTCCCCTCTCGGCCCCGGCCCCGCCCACCTGGCCCACCTAAGCGGGCTCTGAGCAAGGGGCGTGGCCTGGGCTGAGGTCCTAGCGCCCTGGGCTCCGCGGTCAGAGCCCCCAGCCCGGGCTTCCGCTTTCTTCTTCAGTGTGCCCTGGGTTTTAGGTCTGCGAACTTCGTCGGGACTAGGTGCGTGAGAGGGGTTTTCTAAAAATGTTGTGCTTCCTTCCTCGCAGGCAAAAAGCGAGAAAAGTGCTGCTGGTCTGATTTTTAAAATGGAAATAATTTTTATAACAAGGCAGAAATGCTACCCCCCACCCCGCTCCGAGTATTGGGGTTGGAACCTAACGCTCTTTACCACGAGCTGTGTCGTCAGCCTTTTTGTCTTACTTTCCTTTTTTTTTAAGGCAAGGTCTCACTAAATTTGTCGCCCAGCTGGCCTGGAACTTGCATTTGACTTGACGGCTTTGGTCTCCTGAGTTATGGGGATTACAAGAGCCACCACTGCGCCCGGCTCCCAACGCTGGCTATGCATCATGTAAACTTTAGAAGTGACCACGTCGGCTACGTTGTGTCCCAAAGGACCTTTTTTACTAACCTTAGCATTTACAAACTCCTAGGTGGCTGCTTACAGTGTAGTGGGGGGGGGCACAGCTGAGCATGTGTCGAGGCCAAGGGCTTAATATCCAGCCCAGGAAAGAAAAGAAAAGAAAACAACAACAAAAAACCCGCATTACATTCACATTTATATTTCACACATAAAAATTAAGATCAAATGACGGAACAATCCACAGTTTCGTGAAAAGTGTATAACACCTCTCTGCCATCCTTAGAGCCCTTGGCTCCGCATCAATTGCAAAAGTTGAGAAGGCTTTCCTTGTAGAAAGAGGAATATTGTGTCTGCGTCATCCACTGGATTTCTAGCTCCTAGAAAGCAGAATAGGGTCTTAGTCATCTTCATGTCATTTATCAATTCGTCTTCGTGTCAATACACAATTCTTCATGTATTGGAGAAGCCAAAGAAGCTACCTGTATAGACGTGTGCCTACGCCTGGTGTCCCGTTAGGTAAGGCTGAGAGCTTGTGAATTGGGTTTCACTGTAACGGGGGATGCTCTGCTTGGTATCCACCATCCCAACAACAGGGGGTCGTCCCCAGGGACAACGCTGATGAGGGCAGGGCTGGGCTGGAGGGAAACACTGAGTTTCTGGGGCTCCCGCCCTTGAACTTTAGACCTGAAGAAATTAGATGCTCGGGTGAGTGCCTGCTAAGACTTCACAGGAGGACGCCTAGGCAGAGGCCAACAGTGCCCCCTAACGGACGCGTAAACTAGCTGTATCACGATGAGCTTGTAACGTTAACCCCAGGGTCCTTCCTGTTAAACCCCGCCCTTTTCTATGGTTTGCAATTCTGCACTGATTGCTTCGGACTCCCTGTTCCCATTCTGCCCGCTGCACTTTCACCGCATGCCCGAACTTCCCTGCGTGAAGCAATGGCACCCAGGCCACCAACAGGGACGATGGCAGAGGCTTAATGTTAGAGACAATATTAGAACATCTTGCCTTAATTCTATTGAAGAATTTTCTCATGTGTGCAAGTTCTAGAAGAAAGGGGAATAGGTGGGCACTTTTAAATCTATGGTTTATAGTTTCATCATGGAAACAAAAGCATGAACTGAAAATATCTTCTGCAAAATATGCTGAATTTGCATTTTGGTCCAAAGTGAAAATAACTGCCATAATCATCTTGCCGTAATCTACATGAATATATTCACCAAAGGACAACATAACATTTTTACATTCCCTAAGTAAAACTAGGTAAAGGCAAGTATGCTGTGAAATCCTCACAATGCCTTATGAAATTAAGTTGATAAATCTTAGCGATAGCCTGTTGTTTTTCACTAGTATAAACAGTGTTTCCTCCGTTTTCACTTGGGTAGTTTTTCATTCTTGGGCTTACATCAAACATATTCTGAGTATGTTTCAAATCAACTTATAAAATGCTTGTAAGGACATGCTTTTTATTGCTGCTTTTGCTGTTGTTGGGGGGGGGGCGGGCAATGCCAGGCCTCACACGTGCTAGGCAAGCGCTGTACACTCTGCTACATTCCCAGCCTCTAACGGCACACTTTTTACTTTCAGAAAAGGTAGTTAAAATTTATTCTGGTGTAATAGCTAGAACTTTAAATATATGTGGAGAAAGCAGCCGTAGTTCTGGTGCTTAACACAATTTGTACCATATTATACTTTTTGAACACAAATGGACCTAAGTCAAATGTATATTATTTAGGTAGGAAATATAATTGCAAATCCAAGCAATAGAGTTATAGATTCACTTTTACAATGCATCCTGTCCGTTGGATATCACCTGCATGCCATAAAAGTAATCCTTTTTTAAAGTATGGCAATAATATATAACCATAATTTTATACAAATGGCTTAGAAAATCTTTCTGGATGGTTTAGGGTTCTGTAAGTCAGGGCCCAGTGAGGAAACAGTCATCGCAGTAATTATGTTTGCAGAGAATTTTAAGAAATTGCTAAAACAGGTAATGGAAGATTGGAAAGGCAACTAGAGAAACAGCTGCCGTTCAGATGGGAGAAGGAAGTTCTGGGGAGCACCAGAGCTGGGAGACAGCCTTCTGGGGAGACACAGACCCTGAGGACAGGGTGTCCCTGCGTGGTGCCATTGTTTCTAAAAGTAAATATTGAGGGTGGATTAAACTCTAGAAACTAGAACCAACTGCCACCCCCAGAAGAGATTGCTGGGTAATGCTGCAGGGAGGCCAAGGAAGTGTGGAGGAGCGATCCCCGCCCCTGCCCCCATCCTTCTGCTCTCCTCCAGTGCCTCTCTGTTGCCAAAATCTTACAGGAACCATGGTTTGCTGAGTGCTAGCCCCAGGTCAAAGAGCAGAGAATGGAAAGACAAGCTTTGAGACCAGTTGTAATAATCAGCACAGAAAGCAAGCTCTGTGATTACGAACACCAACTTTCCTGATATTAACAATATAGGGCGTGCCTGATAAGTGTGTTGTTATCGTAATGACACATTTACATTGTGATTAACGTTGTGTAATCAGAGTAGAACTGTAGGTATAAGTACACTCAAATAAGGGGCAATGTTGAACTTGAACCCACCTTTGTCATCCTAGAAGTGAAGATTAAAAAGGTCCCTTGCCCATTTCATTCTTTGGGAAAACACTAACTACGTAGAACCGCATTTCCTGACATTACTTAGATAAGACCCACAGATAACTAACTAACTTCCTTTTACAGGTGACAAGGCCATAAACACCCTCCTGCTTTTCATTCTCTGCTCCGAAGTGATACCCTAACCCCTCGGTCCCCACTGACCCATCTGGCCAAAGTGCTTTCCAGCCTTTGGTCAGCTTTCTCTCCCTCTCCAAAGCTTTTGGCTTTTAATCCACTGGCAACTTAAAAGAGTATTGAGATGCCACTCCCTTCCCAAGATGTCCTTTCCAGCTGGCCACAAGGAAAACTCCTCCTTATCATTTGCCCAGTCATACCACCTGTGCATCCCACTCCCTGTTACTCATTCTTTATAACATTATTTACCTCCCTCTTCTCCTCCCCAAAGAGTCATACAGTTGAAGCCTTCTCCCTATTAGAATACACTCTCTTCCCCTTATTGCAGGAATCCTGTTGAGTAAAGTCTCTCCTTGCCTGAGTGTGGGTCTGGTTTTGATTTGACAGTTTTTGTGCTCTATGATGTAGCTCAAGATGGGACCCTCCCACCAGCACTACCAAAGCTGCCCATACGTAGCCCCTAGCCTCACTCAGGAGAAAGCACTGTAGTCAGCAACTGGAGCATCCTTCTTGGGGCTCAGTTCTTGGACCAGCACTCTGGATGTCTTGTTTGTTAAAGCATAATAAGGAGTGAACTTGCTTCTTTGGCGAAGAGATTCTTTCTTTGGCCTCCAGTGAGTTTGCTGTTGTTATTGTTATGCTTTGATTTTTTGTTTTTTACTTAGTTCCCCAGGGATTTTGCAAAAGAATTAATTAAATGGTACTTTTTCACAGTTCCTTTTTTTTTTCCCTGGGGTAACTCTTTCAGGCACCTTCCTTCCCCTTGTCCTAACTCAGCTGAAATGTGGTAGAAAGTAGCCCACTGCAGTGGCATATGCCTATAACCTCAACTACTCAGGAGGTAGAGGTGAGAGGTCTGCAAGCTGGAGAACAGCCTGGGTAATAAGGAGACCCTGTCTCAAAAAAAAAAAAAAAATTACAAATATACACAAAGAAATGGCAGAAATTTAAGAATGGCCATTTCAAAGACTTCCTCTTGGAGGTTGGGATCTCCCCACACTGGCTCATAATGATCTCTCCCTCCTTTCTTTTCCTTTCTCCTTCTCTTTACCACCTTCTACCTTCTCTTCATCTGCCTTGAATTCTCCCATCTGTCCTGCTTCACCCCATGTCCTCCATGACTTTATCTACCCTGCCAGACCTTTGCTGTCCCCCTGCAGCCACTAAACTTGAGGTCACTCAAGAGGTCGCCCCCCACTCATCCCATTCCAAGTTCCAATCACCTACTCTGCACCCCACTGGTGAAAGAGTACAGATGGCCAAATCCATGATACCTAATACTAGATGGATAAGTATTGGAGCCACTGGAGCCCTTTGAGGATCAAAGCTATTGAGGCAGTACATGAATTTTCAGGCCTTAAAACAATACATTCTTAATAGGTTAATATTATCCCTTAGTTATTGTGGACTGATCAGGCCCACAGTCTCCCAAACAAGGGGACAGCAAAGGGATAAATAAATGAGACAAGTGATAATGATTGTAGGGCTCCAGGAGGTTTGAAACTCTCTAACAGAATTCAAGATTTTTCTGGGACTAAAACAAAGAACTTCTCTAGGCAGCCTGTATTTATTCAGTTTTCAAATAAAGGAGGGGGATACTGAAGAAAATTCAAGAATCCAAGTATAGCAGGACCTTGGGAGATATTTCCCAAGTAGTAAATTATG